CTACAACGCCATCGAAGTTCAGATCGCCATCGACGAAGCGGAACTGAGTAATTCCAGTTGCGGCATGATCATTGAAGGTGCCTGGGGTGAGCTTGAATGAATCGCTCCCCTCAGATATCGCGATGTCCATGAATCCGTCACCGCTCTGATCGGTCGGAGCACCGTATGCTGTGTCGTTGTAGGTCATATCGAGTGATGAACCTGTGCACTCGCCGTAGATCCAGGATTCATCAGCAGTGCGTGTAGGGACGGTCTCCATGTCGGAGTTGATCCGTTGTCCGAGCATTGGGTTCTCGCCGTAGTAAGCAAGGCGTGAAACCGCATCAGGATTGAATCCTGGGGTATCTGAGAACTCTTGTTCTGACGAGCGGACATACTCCTTGCCGCCGTTATTCGACCACGCGATCTCATCGATGATCTGGAGGGGATCGATCTTCAACGGCATTGGTGCGATCCCGACTGGGACCTCGATGCCGTAATCCAGTTTGCCGTCGTAGTCGACATCAATGCCGGAGTCTTTCCACATCGAGTATTCCATGCCGTAGACACTCTTACCGTTCGAGATACTGTGGTCTGGACGACGACGAACGAGCAGGTAGGTCGATGAGTCATCGTTGCTCAGATTGCCAAGTGTGTCATTTGGGTTTTCGATGAAGGTATCAAAGAACGACGCACTTGCTTCGCCCTCATTCGGAAAAACCAGCGGGATCAGTGACTGAGCGGTTGTGCCGTTGTAAAGAACGAGGAATCCGTTGTCTCCGATGGTGAGTCCATCGAGTGAGAATGCTTCGTCGATTTCGACATCTGCTGGAACGCTCGGGATGTCATCGCCATTGATATCGGATCCGCCTTTGAACAACCCGATTGCATAACCAGTCAGGTCCATTCCTGGTTTGCCGTAGAGTTCGATGAACTCAAGAACCGCATCATTGGTAGATCCGGATCCGGGAGGGTTTTCATACACTTCATTGATCACAACCTGCCCATTGGCTGAGCCGGCGGTCATTGCGAGGGCTGCGATTGCCCCCAACATCATCTTGTCTCTCATAACTCTCTCATCCTCTCTGTGTTCCCGAACTCTCCAAGCTCGGCGGTTAATTCATCCAATCGGTTAACGGTACTTGCCAGTGAGTAGTTCCCCTGTGAATATCGTGCTCGAGTCAAAGTCCGGATACACGGCCCCACCGTTGTCGCGTGGTTCTGCAGCCGAGTCATAGGTGAAGGTCTTGTCGCCATTCAGATCTTCAATGACTGCAACATGGCCATCAGCGAACAAGAAGTTGCCTTGGGTTTTATCATGACCACGGAAGAAGACTCCCGGTTTAGACCCATGGGCAGGACCAAAGTCGCTGAAGTCATGCGAAGCCCAGACAAATCCGTCGCGCCAGTTTGGGCCATCAGTGACTGATTTGCATGCCGGGAGAGTCTCTTCGATCAGATCGATCGTGTCGTTGGTGTCCTCAGAACTCGCATCTACGCGAGCGTCTGCAAGTAGAGGGACAATCGAGGCTGAGACCGATTGCATTGCATGCTCGCGTAATGGACCGACCACCCCACGGCTCTGGTCTGCGGGCTGTCCAGTTTGACCAATCCGGTTGGTACGCCATTGGGTATATGCCATATACCAAGATTGGGTGTAGTTGGTGTTGTATCCCTTGGAGATCAATGCATCTCTGGTTTCTTGTGTGTAGGGATCGCCGTAGCCCTCGTCATTCATGCGAGCGGTATGGAGATTCTGGTTGTATTGTGCTGGAGCAGTTGGGCACAAGAGATCGCTTGGACGAAAGCCGCCGTATTTGACTATGTCATGGACCCATCCGATTCGTTCTACAGTGCCTCGACGATCGTTCGGTCTCCTGTCCCACTCACGCTCGAGTTGGTATCCCTTCGCGTGTTTGCGGATCCGATTGTCGAAGGGGCCAGAGCTCATATATCCCTTGTTTTCTCCGGCGTATGTCGTGAACGAAACTCCAAACTGTCGCAGATTCGAAGCGCATTGGATGCGTTTGGAAGTCTCACGCGCTTTGCCGAGCGATGGGAGCAGTATGCCGATCAACAGTGAAATCACTGCGATCACAACAAGCAGTTCGATCAGCGTGAAGGCTCGCTTTGATTTATGAAGACTGTGTTGTGGTTGCATAAATAGTCCTCGGATGGCAACTCATCAAGATTTGATGTGAGATGTATTGTCCCTTGTCAATGAACAAACACGCGGCTCGGTGCGCTAAGAGTCAATCAAGGAAGCGTTATGAGAGTTTAAAGATTCGATCTCAACAGAATCCTTTGCGCAAGGTTAATGCGCCGCACAAGTGATCTAGGTTCGCCGCTGTGTACATTTGTGTTCCATGAGTTGTTCATGGAGGCAGGTGGAAAGAGAGCCATCTGTCAAACGATTCGAATTGTGAATCAAACAAGGAGAGAAAATGAAACTCGCAAGCACCATTGTTGTCCTCGCAGGACTCGCAACAGCTTCGTCCGCAAGCCTGACTGTCACCGAAGCATTCGTCGGTCTTTCCGGCGAAGATGGAACACAGGACTGGATCGAAATCACCAACACCACCAACGGCGTCATCGACACAGGTAACTTCTGGTATGATGATGACAGCGCAGACTTTGGAGATGCAGGACAACTCGACTCCATCATGCTCGGAGCCGGTGAATCAGCAATCTTCTTGCTCCGTGATGCGGCTGTAGACGATGTCACCTACACGACAGCGATCGAAGAGTTCCAAGCAATTTGGTCATATTCGGGTCTGATTGGACACACCAACGGTGGTGGTAACCTTGGTCAAGGCGGCGATGCAATCGTCCTCTTCGACAGCATGGGTACTATCCTCTCCACCACTGCAACTCCAGCGGCTCTTTCTGGCAACCTTGAGACTATCGACTATGTCAATGGCGCTGCGGCATCTGTGCTCGGTGTCAATGGTGCATACGCATCCATGTCGTTCTTCAACGATAACCTCGGTCTTCCAGGTGACTCAGCAACCCTGATCGGGTCCCCAGGCTCCGTGCCTACACCAGGTGCTGCTGCACTGCTCGCTCTCGGCGGTCTCGTCGGGGCACGCCGCCGTCGCTAATCGTGTCAGTTGAATTCATATGAACTTCATATCCCCTCCTCGCTGAGGGGTTTTTAGTTTTTCTTGACTTCAAATATCAGTAGCTGTTCACATCGCTCGGCGGCAACAAGAAGTAGGTACTTGCCATCATGCTCTATGAACTTCAGTCCCTCTGGATAGCATGACGAGTCAAGCTCGACGACATCAAGAATCTCAGGGTCTTCGGGGTTCGTCAGGTCATACATGAACACCATGTGGGCTCTTTCGAGACCAACGAATCCAAGAACTCGATCACCCAGGTAACCAATCGCAAGCCCTTCAGGTTCAGGTCCGCTCCGATCGCTTCTTGAATCGCCATGGTTGTAGAGGTCGGGATTGAGTAGTGCGCTGACCACTTCGAGTTGCTCTTGAGATTCCCAGATTTGATTTCCATTGCTGGCGTCGAGAATTGAGATCCCTCTGGCGCCGAGTGTGGTTGGGACATCAATATCGCCGTCGCTATCAGTATCACCGTCGATTGTCGATATGCGGAGCTTGCGGATCACCTCACGTTGATCTGATGAAAGTTTGCCGATCAACTCCTCAGCACTTTTCATGTCGAGCATGCCAAGAGCCAATGCTTCGCCAAACTCGATGACATCATCATCATCGCCTTCCCCTTCGTTGGCGAGCAAAAGGTACTCCCCGCCCTTACTCTCAAACCTGACGATTGTATCGGGTTGATAGAGCATCTCGATTCCTAGATTTGGAAAGAGCATCGCGGCCTCATTGTCGAGCGGATCGAGTGGGGCTTTGGATACACCCAAGTTGAGAATGCTGGTCCAGCTCGATAAGTTGAAATCGAAATACGCGAGTCCATTGTTTTCCTGTAGGCTCACCCAGACTCCTTCTTCGGAAGGAGCTAGGTACTCAGGTTCAACATCGAGTTCAGGATGATCAGCGTTGTGTTTAGATATGCGGAGCGTGTCATGGAGCGGGAGTTGACCAGTAAGGTCGTAGAAGTAAAATTCAATTTCCCCTGACACAAGCGAATCTCTACTGGCTAGTGAGAGTTCAATAATGCCGAGTCCTCCGCGATGGTCCCCAGATTGACCGGCCTCGCACTCATTGGCAATAAGGACTTTGCTCCCATTGGGGGTAAACATCACACAATCAGGGTGATAGCCAATCTCCATCGTTCTGATGACCTCAAGCGATTCAGTGTCAAAGAACTGGAGCACGCCTTCATTCGAGATTCGATCTTCCAGAGAGGGGATCCAAGAAATAACACCAAGCCGACACCCGATGGGGTCGATGTCGATGGAGGTGGGTTCCCATGGAGCAGAGTTTTCAGGCGCGTAGTTGGAGGGGTGCTGAGTGAGTATCTGTTGAGTATCGAGAGAGTAAATGCTTGTGCCGTTTGCACCTATCACGAATATGTTGTGCCGTGAATGGTCATAGGCGAGTATCTCCGCCCCTCGGTCGACGGGGATCGATGCCACGAGATGAAATGAGAGGTCAGCGCTAGCGACAGTTGCAAAACTGATCGCGAGTGAGTGGGTTATAGTTAAAATGAGCATGGGCAGTCCTTGTCAGCGCTATGCAGCACAGATTGGAACACTACCAACATCCAAATGATTGAATTGTTAAGGGGTAAATAAAAACACTGCGACCAAAACCACAGTGTTTAACGGAATCTCTGAGAAATAGCGGGGGCTGGATTTGAACCAACGACCTCCGGGTTATGAGCCCGACGAGCTACCAGACTGCTCTACCCCGCAATCAGGAAGGGAATCATTGCCTCTTATTCGAAAAAGTCAAGATCGCGTCAAAATCTGTGGCTCAAAACGCTCTTTTGGGCCTCTGATCGTGAAACTTGGTCAATGAAATACCATACAACTCACCATCGGGGTGTGTCGCCTCGATGCTCAGAATCACTTTCTCAATCAGAGATGGGGAACCATGAAAAAGACCACTGTACTCGCCGTTGCGAGTGGGCTGCCGATCATGATCTCGGCGAGCACGCTTGCTCAGGATAACGCACCAAACTCTGGGATGTTCCGATTCCCAGATGTGTCCAAATCAGAAATCGTTTTCGTCTATGCAAACGACATTTGGGTCGTCGATAAGAAAGGCGGCGTTGCACGCCCGCTCGCGAGCCCTCCAGGGCAGGAAACATTTCCAAAGTTCAATGCAGATGGGACCGAAGTTGCGTTCATCGGAAACTACGACGGCGACCGAGACCTCTACACCGTCTCAGTAAACGGGAGTGTCCCCCACCGCGTTACGCACCATCCAGGGAACGAGCGCCTAAACGACTGGACGAATACGGGCGACTTGCTCTTCTCGTACAACGCGATGGCCGGGAATCCAGCACAGCAGAACTTGTTCACTGTGAGTCCAGAGGGTGGGATGCCGGAGAAGCTTCCAGTGCCGTATGGTGCTGTCGGTGCAATCGATGATTCTGGTGAATGGCTCGCGTACAACACTGATTCTCGCGACTTCCGCACATGGAAACGCTACACCGGTGGTCTGGCGACAGATATCTGGCTCTTCAATCTGAAGACCTTTGAATCCAAGAAGATCACTGATTGGATCGGGACCGACACCACGCCAATGTGGAATGGAGACAAGGTGTACTTCGTCTCAGACAATGGTGACGAAGGACGACTCAATATCTGGAGCTACGACACCAAGCGTGAGCGTCTGGAGCAAGTCACTGAGTTTGAAGACAACGATGTCAGCTTCGCATCCATGGGACCTGGGTCCTCTGGTAAAGGTGAGATCGTGTTTCAGCTTGGATCTGAGATCCAACTCCTTGATCTTCGTAACGGCAAGTCCAAAGCCGTTGATATTCAGATCCCTGGCGCTCGAGAAACACTCCGTCCAAAGCGCGTCAATGCGTTCGCACAACTTGCCGGGGGGAATATTTCATCGACAGGTAAGCGTGCCGTAGTAGAAGCACGAGGCGACATCTTCACTGTGCCAGAAGAAAACGGTCCTGTCCGTCAGATCACAGATACCTCAGGATCCGCGGAGCGCACGCCCGCTTGGAGTCCGGATGGACGCTGGATTTCTTACTTCTCTGATGAGAATGGTGAGTACGAGTTGTACATCACTCAATCCGATGGAAAAGGAGAAACCAAGCAGCTCACCAAAGGCAACAAGACCTACTGGATGAATGCTGTATGGTCACCAGATTCAGAAACCATCCTTGTCGTTGATAAGACCGGCACAATGTCACTTGTCGATGTCGATTCCGGCGAGATGACCAAGGTAGACAAAGACCCATGGGCAAACCAGCCAAACCCCTCTTGGTCGCATGACTCGAAGTGGATCGCGTACGAAAAGGGATCCGATGATTCGTTGATGACCTCGATTTGGATCTACAACACCGAAACCGGAGAGAAGCATCAGGTCACATCAGGATTCTTCGCTGATTCGAACCCATGCTTCTCATCCAAAGGTGATTATCTGTACTACACCTCGAACCGAAACTTCTCAGCACCGCAGTACGAGGATATCGGTTCGACATTCATTTACGCAGAAACCGGCAGGATCATCGCCGTCCCCCTGAATGATGAAGTTGAAAACAAACAACTCCATGAATCCGATGAGGAGACTTGGGAAGAAGATGAAGCAGATTCAGAAGAGACTGCTGAAGAAGCAGAATCCGACGAAGATAATGCCGAAGGTAGCGACGCTGAAGAAGAAACCCCAGCATATCTCGAAGGATACAACACTGAACATCCACTGTGGGGTAAATGGGAAGGCACCGTCAAGGGACTCTCCGCTGTTGGATCACCGATCGATGAGATTGGCTTTACCCTGACCATCGTCGTCGATGACGAGGGTAACATCATGGGGCAATCTGAGGCACAAGGCGAGACCGATGACCTCGGTGATCTTGTGACCTTCGACGAAGACTCCATGGAGTTCTACTCCGAGTCTGCAGAGATGGGCATGACCATGATCCAGCGTGGTACTGTCAACGGCGATGAAATCACAGGTACCTGGGAACTCAAAGAACTGGGATTCTCTGGTACTTGGGTCGCGAGCCGTACAAGCAGCGAGATTTCTGAGGAAGAACTCTCTGAGATCGCGGACTCGGATTCCGAAGCCGCTGAATCGGTCGAGATTGATTTCGAGGATTTCGAGCGTCGTGGATTTGAGTTGAGTGTTCCATCAGGAAACTTCGCGGCACTCGGTTCCAATGACAAGGGTAACCTGCTCTACATCCGCACATCGGGTGATGCACCATCCCTCAAACTCTATGACATCAACGCCGACGAGCCATCTGAGAAAACTGTGCTCCCGGTCTGTTTCGGTTACGCAATCTCAGGTGACGGTAAAAAAATTATCGCCGGAAGTCCATCAGGATGGGGTTTCGCAGATGCGTCAGCGGGACAATCTGTCAAGCCAATCGCGGCTCGATTGATGAAGACTGTTGATCTCAAAGAAGAATGGCGTCAACTCGTCATCGACGCATGGCGCCGTCATCGTGACTTCTTCTATGTCGAGAACATGCACGGCGTCGATTGGGATGCTGTGCTCGATCACTACCTCCCATTGGTCGATGATGCGGTCTCTCGTGAAGATGTCAGTTACATCATCGGTCAGATGATTGGCGAGCTCAATGTCGGTCACGCGTACTACTACGGTGGTGACACCGACGGTCAGCCATACACCAATGTTGGTATGCTCGGCGCTGATTACTCCGTCGCAGATGTTTCGATCGCGGATGAAAAATACACTGGATTCCGAATTGATACGATTTACGAAGGAGCCGCATGGGATTCGGACGCACGCAATCCCCTCAATGCTCACGGACTTGATGTGAACGAAGGCGACATTATCACACATGTGAATGGAGTCGCGGTCGATACATCAATGGATCCTTGGGCATCGTTCATCGGTCTCGCAGGACTCGAAACAAATCTCACTCTCGTCTCAGCTGATACAGACGAAGATGGGAACGAAGTTTCTAACGAACGTACTGTCACAGTCGTACCAATGGGATCAGAAACCAATCTCCGTTATCGCGATTGGATCGAAGACAACCGTCGGTATGTAGAAGAAGCGTCCGATGGTAAGATCGGGTACATCTATGTCCCGAATACTGGTGTGCAAGGTCAGAACGAGCTCTTCCGACAGTTCTACGGCCAAGCCGGGAAGGAAGCGCTCCTGATCGACGAGCGCTGGAATGGTGGTGGTCAGATCCCAACCCGCTTCATCGAGCTGCTGAATCGTCCTCGCACCAACTACTGGGCGCGTCGTGACGGCAAGGATTGGCCATGGCCGTACGATTCACATCAAGGACCAAAGGCGATGTTGATCAATGGAAACGCCGGTTCAGGTGGTGACATGTTCCCATGGCTCTTCAAGCACAACAACCTTGGCAAGCTGATCGGTACCAGAACCTGGGGCGGACTCGTCGGGATCTCAGGAGTCCCTGGATTGATCGATGGCGGATACACCGCGGTACCGAACTTCGGATTCTATGAAACCGATGGGACCTGGGGTATTGAAGGACACGGTGTTGATCCTGATATCGAAGTGGTCGCTGATCCCTCGAAGATGCAGGACGGCCGTGACCCTCAGCTTGATGTCGCGATCGAACACCTACTCGATGAGATTCAGATCACAGGTTACAACCCGCCGAAGAAACCAGCAGACCCAGTCCGTACAGGCGTGGGAATCACTGAGGAAGATAAGTAACTCGGATGTACAACTCAAAAGAATGCCCCGCGATTTCGAATCGCGGGGCTTTTTATTATCAACTCAACGAATGGTTTTGAGCAGGTCCTTTACCGCTGCTTCGAGTTGTGGATCTTTGCCAGCCGCCTCGTCGGTGGGTGTTTGCTTGACAAATACATCCGGCTCAGCGCCGTTGTTCTCCATGTCGGTGCCATCTGGGAGGTACCAGCCGCGGAACGGACGCCGTACGGTTGTGCCGTCGATCAAGCTGAACGAACCGGTAGAAATGACACCTCCGAATGTTGGCACACCGACCAGTCGCCCACGCTTTGCTGTCCGGATCGAGTGTGCGAAGATCTCTGCATTCGAGAATGAGTTTTCATTGATCAGCACAACAACCGGACGAGAGTACGCGTAGATCAACCGACGATCGCGTGGGTATGAATCCGGCTCAACATCATCGGGATTCGCTCCACGAGGAATGGTGTACGCATGTGTCGGAGCCGTGAGTGATGCTAGGAGGATATCTGTAGTCCATCCCCCACCGTTGTCTCGGACATCGATGATGAGTCCTTCTTTACCATCTGCGGCTGCGAATAAGTCTCGCTCAAAGTCTCGAACAGAAGCGGCACCCATCGAACGGATATGGAGATATCCGAGCTTGCCATCGGAGAGTTGGTTGACCTCCTGTTGACGATCCAGGACCTCTTGTGAGTAGCGGATGACTGAGTTTGATCCATAGCTCTTTGGAGTCACCATGCCGTAGAGCGTATCCATCTCTTTGGTCTCATCATTTGCTCTCTGGTACTCGACCAGCACTTCTTTGCCATTGGCACCAGCAAGAGTACCGTGGAGGTCTTGGCCGGCTAGTGGGTGGTCATCTATCGCTCTAAGAACATCGCCTACCTGAATGCCGTCGTCCATGAGATCAACAGCACCACCCTTGTAAATCCGATCAACTCGATGACCGTGTGGGACAGGTGTAGCATCAATCCCAAGATAACCGTTGTTTGGTGACTTAGCGCTGAAACCATCCCCACCCCAAATTCCGGTGTGAGATCCATCCAGTTCTCCGAACATGAGATTCATCACACGCTGGAATGCCTGATTCGTGCGAGTCTGCATGACCAGATCATGGTAACGCTGAGTCATCTTGTCCCAGTTTAAGCCTTTGAGTGTTGGGTGGTAAAAAGTCAACCCGAACCGGCCTGCGGCTTCGCGGAACTTCTGATCGCGCTCCGCCCTTGTGTCAACTACAAGATCCGCATCCACACTCAATGTCGTGGAGTCGCCTCCGGTCATCCCCGCGCGATTTGCTTGTCCTCCACTTACAAATGACACAGTCTTCCCATCAAGTGATACTCGTGGGTCGGAGACATTGCTGGACTTGATCGTCTTGCGTTCCTTTCCGTATTGATCAATAGAAACGAATGATCCACCCACGGTGAATGCGATACGATTGCCAGCAGGTGCCATGACGAGATTGTTTTCTGATTCTGGGGTTGAGGTCAATCGACGCACACGTAGGTACGCGTCATCAGCATCGAACTCGAACGGCTCGATCTCAACAGGCTCGTCAGGATTCAGTGGTTCTCTTTTTTTCGCGGCATCAACTGCATCCGAGTAATACGCATCCAACTCGTAGCGTCTCATCCCGTCAAGATCGCGATCCAGATTGATCGCATAGACATCCCACTCCCAGTTGTTCCCTGCTCGATCTGAGAGGAAGGTGAGGACTTTCCCATCCGAAGAGAGCTGCGCGGAGTGATCGATATCGGGATGTTTGGTAAGGTTCACCGGCTCGTGTGCAGAACCATCATCCTTTAATCGTGTGTCAAGCACAAAGATGTCAGAGTTGAAGTTCAGATCGGTGTCTGAATAGACCACATGCACGGAATCTGCAGCCCACTGTACCTCGGGATCTGACCACGATTCAAAAAGGACCCGGGCAACACCTGTTTCTAGATCCATGAGCATCACGTCGCCGCGAGATTGCTTGAAGATCAACTTCTTTCCGTCTGGAGATGGAGTTGCTCCATAAGCCAGTTTCGCATTCTGAACAACTGGAATGATCTCAAATCGCAACGCGCCAGCCCAACGGGCGCCGTGGTCAATCTGCTCTGCTTCGGGTTCCTCAGCCTCTTCATCAGATTCGCTGTTCGTGGTCTCTTCAGTTGGTTCTGACTCTACCGACTCTGCAGCAGGCTTACTTTCTGTGCCTTCTCCCTTTGCTTCTTCAGTGTCGCTCTCATCGGAATCCTCTGGTTCCTCTGGTTTCAGATCTTCAGTGCTCAGAGAGACACGCACCGCATAGATAGAACCCAGTGAGTCGTCATCAGCCGTGAAGTACAGCACCTCGCCGTCGGGTGACCAGACGATGTCTCTCTCTCGGACTGGGGTATCCGTGATTCGTCTGCTCAGATGCTCGTCCTTTGTTGAGCGGACGAACAACTCATTGCGAGCAACTACAACCACAGCATCTCCGGATGGATGTATCGCGGCTTCGCTCACATTGCGTGATGCATCGATTGGCTTGGTCTCGTCCTGATTAGAATCCGATCCCATGAGAACATGGACTGGGACTGGTTCCGCGTTCCTGTCGTTTAGATCGAGCGTGTACATCGTGTTTTCAACTACGAAAGCGGCAACTGAACCATCTCTGGATACACAGAGATCGCGCACACCAGCCATGATGCTGTGCTGATCCTCGCTCGGTTCAAAGTTGGTTAGCTTCTTCCCTGGACGACGCCCTTTGGGATCAAACTTCCCGGATTCCATCCTGAAAACATTGTACTGTCCACTTTCAGATGAGAGGTACAGCAACGATCCATCCGGGAGCGGGCACGGATCCATATCGTTGCCGTCGAAGCCAGTCACCTGTTCGAACTCACCCGTGCTCGGGGAGTAGTTCCAGAGGTCGAGATTCCCCGACCCGCGGTACGCGACTCTGTGGGGGTAGTAGTATCCTCGCATAAAGTAAATAGAGTCATCGTTCAGACTCGGCGTCGGCGCACGACCAAATGCTCCGGTCAGGTCCTGGATCGGGCCGCCATCAAGCGGCGCTTCGTACATTCTGGGTTGGCGATATATCTCTGGATACAGATAGGCAGAGAAGTACACAGAGTTCCCATCTGGACTAAACCCCCCAAGCCATTGGGTCCGATCTGAGGTGCTGACTCGATCCAGATTGTTCATCACGAGATCAGAGCCATTCCCGGTTATGTCTGCGATATAGACATTGGCGACGCCGCCTCTATTAGATTCAAACGCGATCCGATCGCCTTGTGCATCGAAGAATGATCGCCCCTCAATCGCCGGATGGGCCGTGAGGCGATTAGCGACACCCCCATCGCGATGAACTGACCAGAGGTCCCCTGCTGCTGAGAACACAATCGTGCGTCCATCTGGTGACAGCGATGGGTACTGAATGAGTCCTGGAGTCGGATCTCCCGCATTTCCAGAAGCTACACCGCTTGCGAGTCCTGCAAGCAAGCCTACCAACATTGTCCGAGTGTTCACAGCTGATCCTCCAAGTCTGTGTTCCGCATGGGGTTATCAAAAAGGACCCAGCCGAAAGCACGGCTGGGTCCATGAATATACCAGATCAGATTGAACTATGGTTCAGAATTTCACTCAGATTCAACTGGTTTCAATGATTCTGGATCGCGCTGAGGGAGAATGGTGGATTCGCCGTTGAAGAACTCTGCCATTGTTGCGATACGATTTTTATCCGCTTCCGAATCCTCGTTCCCGGCTTTGATCTCGTCAACAGGCCCCACCACCATAATCACGGCTTGTTCAGGATTGAGATAGTTCAACGCGGCTTCTTGAACATCTGAAGCGGTGACTGAACGGACTCGATCGCGGTAGTTCTTCCAGTAATCCGCTGGACGCCCAGTCCGTTCATCGCTGATGAAGAGATTCATCATCGCAGACTTTGACTCAAAGTTACGAGGGAATGTCTCGATGAGTGAGTTCTGGATGATCTCAATCTCTTCTGTAGTCGCTTCCTCAGTTTGGATCTTACCGATCTCGTCGAACACCAATCGTGTAGCGAGTGCCGTGGTTGGTGTCTTCGTGAAGAAGTATGACAAGAACATCCCTGGATACTCGACACGATTCGAAAAGGTTGATCCAGCGGTGTATGCGAGACCTTCCTGTGTACGAACCGTATTTGTGATACGGCTTGTGAATCCGGAGCCTCCGAGGATCTGATTCATCACTTCTACATCAATCGCGTTGGGATCATCGCGTTCGATACCGCGATGCCCAATAAGCACCTGGACCTGAGGCTGATCCTTCTCGTAGTAGTACACGCCTGGCTCGTATGTCTTCGCCGGCTTTGGGATATCTGGTGAGATCTGACCGACTTCCCAGTCACTCAGCTTGATCTCGAGGAATGCAAGGATCTCCTTGGGTTCGACATCGCCCGTGACCGCAATCATGAGATTGCCGGGGTGGAAGATTTGCTCATGCAAAGCCTTCATATCATCGATCGTGATGGATTCGATGGATTCCCGAGTAGGCTGGCGCCCCTCGAAGTGATCCTCGCCCCACATTAGGAAACCGAGTTCACGGATCGCGATCTGCACTCCGGCATCATTCCGAGATTCGAACGATTCGAGGATCTGGTCTCTGCGGATCGCAAAGCGAGACTCATCGAATCGAGGATTCCTGAGCATGTCCATGAACAGGTCGAATGCGGAATCCAGATTGCTTGTCAAGCAGTTGATGCTTGCGCGTGAGTTGCGATCACCGATCGAGGTGGACACATTTGCAGCAAGGAAATCAAACTCCTCGTCGAGTGCTTCTGGATCCATTGTTGAAGACCCACCGGATCGGATCATCCCGCCGGTTAACCCCGCCAATCCGGCCTTGTCAGCTGGGACAAGGTACTCGCCGCCTTTGAAACTCATGCTGATGGTCACGAGTGGGAACTCATTGGATTCAGCGATGAACACGGGCACTCCGTTGGTGAGTTCATACCTGAAGTCCTGAGCTTCGGGAGGCGTGAACTGGAGTTCCTTGAACTGGAGTTCTGATGGATGTGATGGGATATCAGCAGCGTAGGAAGTAGACCCTGCCGCCACCACCGTCGCGATCAAACATGATTGAACTGCCTTCTTCATCCTTCACCGCCTTCCGAGCTTCCAGCTCCGTTGCTCTCGATCGCGTCTAAGCGGATCTGCATTTCTTGTTGGATGTAGTCCATGAGTTTCTTCATCTGTGGCGGAATCATCTCGGCTTGCGATTCGATCTCTGCCATGCCCTGTCTGAGTTGTTCTGCATTCATGCCGTCGAGCTCAGCGAGCTGCGCTTCCAGGTTTGGCATGATCATCCCGACCATTTCTTCAGGAAGTGACGCCTTGACATCATCGATTGTGATGAGCTTTGCCTCACCGTCCTTCCGTGTGTAGAGTGCGGTTGCTCGTGCGTCATTCTTGAAGTACTGATTTGCAACACGCATGATGTCCTCAGCGGTCACTTCCTGAATCGCACGCGGATAGGTATTGAGGTATTCATACCCGCCGTATGCTTCAGTGATAGCAAGTTGGAAGAACAACGATGAGTTGTCTTGGAGTTCGCGGAATGTGTCCGCTGCGGACTGATTTTTGATCTTTTGCAACTCTCTATCAGACACTGGCTCGGTTTTGAGCAGATCGATCTGTTCGAGCCAAGCAAGTTCCAGATCCTCGAGAGATGCGTCACCCTTTGGGGTAGCGGAAAATGAGAATGAACCAGCGAAGTGCTGCGAGCGGTTCCCCGCACGCGCGGAAGCCGCGATGCCTTGCTCCTCCACGAGCGATTTGTAGAGACGACCGGTGCGACCATTGAGCAGGTCCGCGATCACATCGAGAACCGGCTCATCAGGATTGCCGTACGCGACCGAGCGGTAACGGACTTCGACTTGGTCCTGGCAGTCACACTGACCCGTGAATCGCATCTCGCCGAGCAGCGGGACCGAGTGGGTCACCATAGGTGATGGTGCTGGCCGCTTATTTTCAAGTCGACCGAAGTATGAATCGATGAGTTGCTTCGCTTCATCGACCTCGAAATCACCTACAATCACGCCGGTCAGATTTGCAGGCTGGTAGTAAGTCTCAAAGTATTCACGAACCTCGTCTTCGGTGTACGCCATGAGGTCGCTCATCCATCCGATGACTGGGAAGTTGTACGGCGACGCAACCCAGAACATCGAGTCAAACTGCTCGTCAAGTTTCCCAGTCGCGGTCGCTTCCAGACGCTGACGGCGTTCTTCAATCACTACAAATCGTTCAGCATCGAGTTCTCGTAGCGAGGGGTTGTTCAAGCGATCCGATTCCATCCATGACCAGAGCTCAAGTTTATTGGATGGGATATTGATGTAGAACACAGTAAAGTCATTGCTTGTCCCGGCGTTCATTCCTGAACCGCCGTTCCCGGTGTAAACCTTATCGAACTCGTTCTTGATGGTGATTCCCGCTTGCTCATCTTGCAATGCAGTCATCTGTGCACGCATCTCACGCAGTTCTGGAGTGTCGTTCGCTGGATCCCAAGGATTATCGATCTCGCCGCGATAGAAACGCTTGTACTGCACATCGGTGGTGTACGCACGCATCTGCTGACGGATTTCAGTCAACTGATTGCGGAATGCAAGGTCTCCCTCGGCATCCGAGGTCCCGATGTAATCCGTACCCTTGAACAGCAGGTGCTCGAGGAAGTGTGAAACGCCGGTGATACCTGGGCGCTCGTTCACCGATCCGACGGGACTGATCCATCCCGCGGTGATGATGTTGGGTTGCTCGTCACGCGGCATGAGCAAGAAATGCATGCCGTTGTCGAGGGTGTATTCGATGGGTTCAACCTGCTGCGCCATCGAGATCGATGATGTTGCGAGCAGAAGACCCGTGGTCAGTAAAGCGGTCCGCATGCTTCCTCCTCAGTATGTGAAGCGTCAATCAGAGACAATGCAACTGTAAACACGGAGTCTACAGGGGGTAGATCATACCGGGATTGCGCCGTGATGATGCAAATTGTCCAAAAACAGGGCTGATCTACACTCGGCCACATTCTGCGATCATACAGCGGACACTGCCTCCGCCAACATTCTCAATGGTTGGGATAGGAACATGGATCACTTTGCCCAGATCTTGGAATATCGATTGCTGCTTGACAGAAAACGCTCCCCAAGCCCGGCTGGACATCGCGATGACCGGTTCCCCGTGGATGGTCTGGAGTTCGAGAATGTTCCCACAGAAGTTATTCATTTGGTCACTACTGATGTCGATCAGAAGCCGACCATCAGCTTGAAGCCTCTCGAGCACACTAGCCCGATCCTGAGCTTCCCGAATTGTATGTGCACACACCACGCTGAAGTGTTCGCCCACACTCATCATGACATTGGTGTGGTATATCGGCTGATCATCAGTATCCAAGGCTTCAAATGCAATCGGTTCATACCCAGTCTCATCGCACCACGCTTCTAATGCACAACTCGTGGTCCGAGGTGATATACACGCAAAGGCATTACCTTTGACACGATCAAGTACCAGTGATCCAGTTCCCTCGAGTATCTCTTCGTCGTCTTCCATATCAGCGAAGTCAATGTGATCCACCTCACCCAATACTGAACCCAATCGTTCAAGGACGAGATCGGATCTTTCCAACCGACGCAACTGGTCACACATCGGATAAGTGATCAGCACCGACGTGCCATTTAGGGGTTGGTGACAGCTCACCCAGTTGTTTGGGAAGACACAATCGGGGAGTCCATGAACATCTTGATGGATCAATACTTCAACACCCGCATCCATGAGCGCTTGAGCGAGGGCATCAAACTCCACCTGGGCTTTATGAGCGACTTCCATAGAATCCCGACCGGGCTCATTCATAAACGCATTGCTCTGAGATGCTTGCGCATGAAAACCAAAAAGCTTGGGTCTTATCATGAGCACTCTGTTTGCCGTCTGGAATCGTTCTGGGACTATCTGATTATCCATTCGTGACCATCATAAGACCTATCCAGTGGAAGAAACCCGTGATCATGCCCACAATCAGACATGGATCCAATCATCATCACCACAGATCTCGTCTTGACACCGCAGCTAGTGACCCAGGTTGCTCGTGAAATGCCTCGAATCTCGCTCTCCGAGGAGTCCCGAGCAGCGATCGAGCAATGCCGAGCGAGTCTAGAAACGGTGCTCAATGACGGCTCCCCCCACTACGGTATCAACACAGGGTTCGGATCACTATCAAATCAACGAATCGAGCATGAGGATCTAGAGAATCTTCAAAGGAACCTGATCCGTTCTCATGCCGCAGGGATTGGGGATCCACTCGAGGATGAGATAGTTCGTGGGATGATGTTCGTTCTTGTCTGTTCATTGAGCAGAGCAAAGTCCGGAGTGCGAGTTGAACTCGTCGAGCTCCTGATTTCTATGCTGAATCACGGCATCACCCCGATCGTTCCAGAGCTGGGATCAGTTGGCGCATCGGGAGATCTTGCGCCACTCGCTCATGTCGCTCAAGCAATGATCGGTGAGGGGAAAGTCAAGGTCCAAGGGCGGGAAGTGGACGCTCTTGCTGCATTACAAGACGCCAGCATCAAACCCATGACCCTCAAAGCGAAGGAAGGGCTCGCGCTCATAAACGGCACTCATCTGATGACGGCCCGATTCTCCCTCATTTACCAGGATCTCGAACAACTCATTGATACCGCATTAATAGCCAACGCAATGTCGATCGATGCGGCTCGCGCTTCGCATGGATACCTCGATCCGCGGATCTATGAGGCACGAAACCAACCCGGTGCATCGGAGGTCGCAACAACAATGCGATCGCTCCTAGACGGCAGTACGATTGTTGAATCGCACGCAGAGAATGATCCACGCGTTCAGGATCCGTACTCATTCCGTTGCGCCCCGCTGGTGATGGGGGCGGTGCTTGATTCACTCAGATCTTGCCAGTCCAGCTTGCTCAATGAACTGGGTGCAGTCACTGACAATCCACTCATCTTTGAGACGACGAAGGAAACCCCAGACATTGTTTCAGCAGGATGTTTCCATGGCATGCCGGTCGCGCTGCCGCTCGATACGCTCGCGATCGGTATTGCGCATCTTGCAGGAATCTCCGAGCGCCGTATGTACCATATTCTGTCAGTCTTCGATCCCGAATCCCAACTCCGTGCATTCATGAGTCCCAAGCCGGGCGTCATGTCCGGATTCATGATCGTTCAGTACGCAGCCGCGGCGATTTGCAACGAACTCATCGGTCTCGCGAACCCCGCGAGTGTCGCGAATCTATCAACCTGTGCTGGGATGGAGGATTACAACTCATTCGGTCCACGCAGTGCCGCCAAGGCAAGCAGAGCGCTCAAACTCGCTCGATCTGTGATTGCATCTGAGTTGCTTTGCTCCGCTGAAGGGATTGAGTGTCATCGTCCGCACACTTCGGGTCATCGCATCGAGGCTGCGATCACAGCCATCCGCGAGGTTGTCGCACCCCTCACTGAGGACCGGACTCCATCGCCTGATATCGCTGCGATCGAGGAGCTGATTCGTAGTGATCGCTTCGCATTCGAACTCTGATCCCCTACTATTTCGAATCAGAAACGGAACACCATCATGAGCATGATTCAAGCATCATCGTTAATCCCAGAACCCCAAGACCGTGTCATCCGAGCCCCTCGGGGAACTGAAAAAACATGCTCGACATGGCAGGCAGAAGCCGCGATGCGCATGCTCATGAACAACCTTGACCCTGAGGTCGCTGAGCACCCACAATCGCTCATTGTCTATGGCGGACGAGGGCAGGCGGCGCGTTCATGGGAATCCTACGACGCGATCATCGAAACGCTAAAACGGCTTAAACCAGACGAGACTCTGCTGGTCCAGTCCGGGAAGCCTGTAGGTGTTATACAGACACATACAGACGCGCCGAGGGTCATGATCGCGAACTCAAACCTTGTTCCGCATTGGGCAACCCAAGATCATTTCGATGAACTCGCTTCCAAGGGACTCATGATGTACGGCCAAATGACCGCTGGGTCATGGATCTACATCGGTACTCAAGGCATTCTGCAGGGGACATTTGAAACCTACGCACAATGCGCTCGTGATCATTTCAATGGGACCCTTGCGGGAACCCTGAATGTCACAGGTGGATGCGGCGGGATGGGCGGTGCTCAACCGCTCGCAATTACCCTCAACGGCGGAACGGGACTCATCGCGGATGTCGATCGCACAAGACTTCAGAGACGACTCGAAGACGAGTACCTAGACGAGTTAGTCGATGATCTGGATGCTGCAATTGATCGTGCGATGGAACTCAAAGAACAGAAATCTGCCACTTCAGTAGGCTGGGAAGGCAACGCAGTTACCCTTCTAGAGCGACTGATTGAACGCAACATCATTCCTGACACGCTGACGGATCAAACCAGTGCCCACGATCCACTTCAAGGATATTGCCCGATCGAGTACACCTTCGAGCAAGCAGAACAGGCGCGACAAGAGGACAGTGCCGCGTATCAACAAAAATCACTCGCATCGATGCGTCGCCATGTCGAAGCGATGGTCAAGCTCCAAACACTCGGCGCGATCACCTTTGACTACGGAAACAACATTCGTCAGAGAGCGTTCGATGAAGGATTTAAAGACGCGTTTGCGTTCCCAGGCTTTGTTCCGGCGTATATCCGCCCTCAGTTCTGCTTGGGGAGAGGACCATTCCGCTGGTGTGCACTCTCAGGTAATCCGATCGATATCTACAAAACGGACTACGCATTGCTCCAGCTCTTTCCCAAGGAGGACGGAGGTTACAACGAGCGTCTACACCAGTGGATTCTCGGTTGCCACAAAAACCCTGACGCTCTGCTCAATCAAGACTTCGAAAACTGTGAACCCCGCTTCGCGTTTCAAGGACTCCCCTGTCGCATCTGCTGGTTCGGATTGGGAGAACGGGACAAAGCGGGACTGCTGTTTAACAACATGGTTCAGTGCGGTGCGGTATCAGCTCCAATCGTGATCGGAAGGGATCACCTTGATTGTGGCTCTGTTGCATCTCCGAATCGGGAAACTGAATCGATGAAAGATGGAACTGATGCTGTTTCCGATTGGCCGCTCCTGAACTTTGCAGCCAACATCGCATCAGGCGCCAGTTGGGTGAGCTTTCACCACGGCGGAGGTGTTGGGATCGGATTCAGTCAACATGCTGGTCAGGTCATCGTTGCTGATGGAACCCCAGAAGCCGCAGACCGGCTTGCACGCGTGCTACGCAATGATCCGATGATGGGTATATTCCGGCACGCTGATGCTGGGTACGAAGATGCTATTCAGTGCGGTAAAGAACAAGAAGTCGATATTCCAATGTAGGATCTGATGATGCAATTTCCCCATCTCCGTCCATACGAATGGGATTCCTATATCCCCGCTAAAAAGTTTGCATCAACGATCAGTAGCGATCCTGCTATATGCCAAATCGCGGTCATCGGGATTCCAGATGACACCGGAGTAACTCTCAACTACGGAAGACCCGGCGCCAAAGAAGGTCCTGCAGCATTCCGCTCCGCTCTCAGAGCTATGAGTATTGCACAGCCCGTGGATTGGGAATGGCCAAGAATATTTGACGCAGGTGATGTCGATGTAGTGCTGGGAGATCTTCACGAAACGCACGAGCGTGTTACGAAAGCCGTTGAATCTATTCTTGAACTGGGACTCTTCCCGATCGCGATTGGGGGTGGTCACGACCTCACCTTCCCATTTGTGCGTGCCGTCGCAAATAGGTTCGGACCTCTCAACGGCGTCTACTTCGATCCGCACCTTGATGTCCGCGAAACTGACGGTTCCGGCATGCCATTCCGTAGACTTGTGGAAACGAATGCCGTCAACGCACTACGGATTCATGGATTCGACTCAATGAGCAATAGCGTTGAGCATGTCAAATGGTTTCAATCAAACAATGGACACATTGATACAACCGCGACTCCCGATTCGCATTGGCTCGCAGGGAATACATTCGTGTCGTTGGATCTAGATGTTATCGACGCCGCGTACGCGCCTGGAGTGAGCGCGATGAATCCAATTGGGTGGACGCCGGAATACGCAGCGCAGTGGGTACATGCTGCAGGAAAGAATCCTGATGTTCGCTGCTTTGACATTATGGAACTTTCTCCACCCAATGATCATCTCAACCGGACCGCTCGATTAGCGGCACGGTTGTTCCTGGCATTCCTCAAAGGATTTTCGGAGCGGGAATCATGAGCCGATCACTCATCATCAACAATGCGCGATTGCTCACGCTTGATCATGGACCGATCCCTCGCAGGGGATCTGAGATGTCGGATCTCGGAGTTATTGAGTCTGGATCCATCATGATTCAAGATGGTCGAATCAGCAAAGTCAGCTCGCAGCATATCACAGACCAGAATGCGATCGAGATCGATGCTCAGCAACGAGTGGTCATGCCATCGTTTATTGACGCACACACCCACGCTTGCTGGGCTGGAGATCGCCTTGATGAGTGGGAACTCAAACAAAGCGGAGCGACCTACCTCGATATCCTGAAATCAGGCGGCGGGATCATGTCAACCGTGCGTGCTGTGCGTGAAGCGAGTGTCGAGCAACTCCAAGCTCAACTCATGAGGCACCTCGATGCGATGATCCACGAAGGAACCACGGCATGCGAGATCAAATCCGGATATGGGCTCAGTACAGAATCCGAACTGAAAATGCTCGAAGCAATCCATAGAGCTGCGGATTCTTGGGTTGGACAGATCACTCCCACCGCTTGCATAGGACACGCGAAAGATCCCGGCGACCCTAACTTTGTCAATCGCACCATCAATGAAACACTTCCGGCGATCCATGAGCGGTACCCAAACATTGTCATCGATGCGTACACCGAAGAAGGGGCATGGAGCGTCGAAGAAACCGAAGCTTTGTTCGACGCCGCTCAAAATCTCGGACACAAGCTGCGTATCCACGCGGACCAGTTCAATGAACTGGGTATGCTGGAATCCGCGATCAAGATGGGTGCTCTCAGTGTTGATCATATGGAAGCTACGAGCAATCAGTGTCTTACAAAACTTGCAAAATCGAACACCATGGGAGTCATGCTGCCCTGTTCAGGTTTCCATGTCGATGATCGGTACGCAGATGGCCGAGCATTTGTTGATGCCGGAGGGGGATTGGTCATCGCAACAAACGCGAACCCTGGTTCCGCCCCCTGTTTCTCTATGCCGATGTCCATTGCACTCGCTGTTCGCAACTTGAATATCACCGCTGCAGAAGCGATTTCTGCATGCACGGCAAATGCTGCCTATCTGCTCGGTTTAGAAGATACAGGTACGATCAAGGTTGGGAATCGAGCAGATCTGATCATGCTCCGACACACCGATGAACGACAACTCGGATATGAGTTCGGGGGTTCACATGTGCAGTTAGTGATCTGCGACGGCAATACAGTTCACAATACGCTCAGCTGATCCGAGTGATGATGTTCTCTACAAGCTTTGAGATCCCCTCAAAGACTTGAGCAGGATTCTTCGCTTCCATATACGCCGGAGTTGAGACAATGTTGAGTGTGTCGTCGATCACGATATCTTCGGCATCAGCTTCAACATGGGTTGCCCCAGTTGCGACAACAGCTGCTGCTGTACCCGAGTCATGTCCGATGGTCACCTTTGCGCCTTGGGCACCGAACACCTTCGCTCCAAGTGCAGGTGCGATACAAATGAAACCGATTGGTTTCCCAGCGTCGTGCGCTTCCTTGAGCACGCGATCCACATCAGGATTCACCATGCACGCAGCACCGTCAACGGCGAAGGTACTCAGATTTTTCGCAGCCCCAAATCCCCCAGGCAGAATAAACGCGTCGTAATCGAATCCATTGACATCCTTCAGGTTATCAATCTCGCCACGCGCGATTCGGGCGGATTCGGTGAGGATACTGCGTGCCTCTCCTGTCTCTTGCCCGCTCAGATGATCGACGACTTTGAAGTCCATGTCTGGAGCCATGCAGCGATATTCGATACCACGCTGTGCTAGAGCGATTAATGCAGCCGATGCTTCCTGGATTTCAGACCCATCAAAGACTCCACACCCACTCAGAATGACGCCTACCTTTGGCATATCTACACTCCGTCTTAATCTACTGCCTTCAATGCCCTGCTCACTCGAACCGCTTGATGTCCGACATGAATCGCCATGGATGCCTTGGTTTCGTCTTTCATGTTCCCGTGCTCATCGAACGCTTCATGTCCCCCACCAAGCGCATATTCGGCTGGTACCACAAGCATTTGAAGTTGTGAGAGAATCAATCTCACATGTCGCATGCCCCGAATACCGCCAAGTGCACCAGGGGAGGAAGACAAAAGCCCCGCGACTTTGCCCTCAAAGCACGCACGCGGAGCATCACCGTCACGACCCACTGATGCCCAATCGATCGCGTTTTTCAGCGCTCCGGTGATTGACCCGTTGTACTCGGGACACCCCACGATCAAGGCATCACAGGCAATCAGTCGATCTTTCAGTTCATTGACTGAGTTGGGCATCGGTGAGATATCTTCAGAATACATTGGCAATTCCAGATCGGC